GATTGCTGGTCAGATGGGGCGCGGAGGCGCGAGACGCGGAGGCGCGAGGCAGCATATACACATGCATCGGGCGAAGAGCTCGAGCCCGAGATTGCGCATTGCGGCCATATATTGCAATGTTATTTCCAATTCACAAATATTTTTGTGTCGGCCGTGTCTCCTTGGGTCGATGGGTCCGCACCTCAGAAGTGGGTGATCCGCCGCGGTAAAACGGAAACCTGATCCGCTATAACCCGCCACGTAACTAAAAAGCCGTCATAACGGGCGCAAACAATATGTACGATCTGCACACAACTAGAGAGAAAAGAAAATCTACCGGGGTTGTGCGTTTATGTGAGTGAGGTCTGTGTCCTGAGCTCCTGACTTGCCAACAATATATACCTGTACAACTTACCACAATTCGATACAGTCGTACAACAATGATAATCTCTCTCTCTGTCTCTCTCTCCACAATGCGTAGCGCGCTCCCTAGCTCGGCCCCTTGACGGACGAGTCACCTGCACCGCCCCCCCTTCGTGCCTGGAGGGAGTAATCGGGCACGCACCACCACCACTGCATGCAGCGCCTTTTCGCAGCAAAGCGTGTTCACCGCGCCCCCGGGGGAGGCGGGGGCGTGGAAAAAGCGGGGGCGGCGGGTGTGCGGGATGTCTGTGGGCCCGAGAGCGATATGCCATACGTGTCCTTGCTTTGTTTCCTAACTCGAAGGCTACCCGGCAGCTCAAAAAAAGCGGGCACGCGGGACATGCACAGGCGCCAAGGGGCGCAGAACCGACCTAACCCGTCGGAGGTGGGGGGAAGGGAGTCCCCCGGGTCCTGCGCGAGCGCGAGAGTAACCCCAGGAGGGCCAAGATGAGCGGTGCGCGCAGGGGTCGGCGTGGAGGGCGATGAACGCGCCGCGCGGGGCGCCGCCTCACCGGCCCTCGCCAACGCCTCAAAAATGGCGCAGAGTGAGGCGGCGCACCGAGCGAGCACGTGAGCCCCGTGGCTCCAACCGGGCCCTTCCTTTTTTGAGCAGGTGTGCCGCCGCGCGAGCGACGCTCCGAGATCGCCCGAGATAGCGCGGCGCGGCCCCGAGATCGCCCGAGATAGCGCGAGATCGCCCGAGATCGCGCGGCGCGGCCCGAGGCGAGGTGGATGGGTTGGGAGCGAGGGGGCGAAAGTGTTCAGTGCGGTAGACGGTGAGCTCGGGGCGCGTGAGCCGGACTTGGGGGCCGGACGGCTTTCATTTCTCTCTGCGTTCTCGCACATGGAGTGCGAAATACTCGACTTTCCGCCCCAAACTGTCGCACTCCCCTTTCTCCCGGCCGGGGTGGGGCGCGCGCGGGGGCGGCGGGTGTGCGGGATGTCTGTGGGCCCGAGAGCGATATGCCATTTCCGCGTTGCGTTTGTTTCATCACATCGAAGGCTAACCTCAAAAAAAACACGACATTTCGCGCCATGATCGGCGAAGAGGGGCAACGATATGGGACCCACCACGCCACGCGATGACCCCCTCCTCTCGATCCTCGATCGCTTCACGCCTCTTGAGGCGCGCGCCTCGCTGCCGCCGAGCAAATTCGTGTCTCCTCCTGGCCCTGCAGCCGAGCCCATCATGCGGTTCGTCCGCGAGTGCCACCGCGAGCCCGTCCCGCACCTGACACCGAGCGGACCGGGCCAAGAAACGCTGCACGAGCGCTCGGCGGAGCGTCACCCCGATGCGGCGCGGCGGGCTGGTGCAGAGCGGGCGGCGGCTGCCGTTCGTGCGGACGCGGCAGTGGCAGCCTTCCGTCGCCGGCTGTGCCCGTGGCAGACGCTCTGCGAGGAGGCGTCGCTGCAGCTGATGCGACGGCTCGACCTGCCGACCCTGCTCGCTCTCAAGGGCACCGACCGGGCATCCGCCGCGCGCGCGCGCGCAACACTCGCCTCCGTGCGCTGGCGGACCACCGGATCAAACGGCGCCGACCTCGCCGCCCGGCTGCCCGAGGCGAAGGCTGCCGGGTGGCTGCGATCGCGGATCACGCCGTCGAGCGACTTTGCGTCGCTGACGGCGCGGGCGCTGCGGGCGGAGCTGGAGGTGGCCCTCTCGCTGCCGCCGGGGGCGCTGCGCAAGCGCAGGGCCTGGCTCGACCGGCTCATCCTCGTGCGGAGAGACGAGACGACCGCCGCGCCGCCACCGCCGCCGCCGCCGCCTCCTCGCCAACCGTCGGTCGCGTCGCGGCCAGCCGAGCGGTCGCTCCCGGCCCCCTCACCGCGCCCGCCACCGCAAGCACCGCCGAGGCCGCAGCCGAAGCCGCCGCCGCCCGCCGCCTCGCCAGGGCCGACGCCGTCTGGGCCGCCGCCCTCTCTGCCGCTCCATGGCGCAGCCCAGCCGACTCGCCAGGCCCGCAGGCAGGCCCCGCGCAGAAGATGTGGCGAGTGCGCGGGCTGCGTCTCTCCCGGCTGCGGCGTGTGCGCCTCCTGCCGAGGGACGAAGAGTGCGATCGAGCAGCGGAAGGGCTGCGTGCATCGCAAGTGCGAGGTGCTCGCCCTCGCCAGGAGGGAGGCGGCGGCGGCGCGCCTCCTCCTGCAAGCCGGCTCGCCGCGCAGCGCCGCCGCCGCCCCGCCCGCGGCGAAGACCGCAACCCCCCGACCGGCCGCTCCGCCCGCTCCGCCCGCTCCGCCCGCGACACCTGCTCCGCCTGCTCCGCCCGCCGCTCCGGCTGCTGGCTTCTCGACCGGCCGCGAGGCGAGCCAAGAGGCGGCGCCGGACTCGGACGAGGAGGAGGGGCGGCCCCTCGCCGCACGCGCAAAGAAGCGCGCGCGAGGCGACCCGCAGCAGGCTGGCGAGGGAGGGAGGGGCGAGGGAGGGGCGGGCGGCGCAGAGGGAGGCGCCGGCTCCGACTCAGAGGAGGGCCGGCCGCTTGCCACCAGGCGGCGGGGGGCGGCGGCGGGGAAGCCGCCGGCGAAGGCGAACGCTTCGGAGAGCCCGCCGCCTCCTCCGCCTCCTCCGCCTCCTCCCGCTCGGCACAAGCTTGCTGCGGTGCGGCAAATGGCACAGAGCAGCGATGAGGAGGAGGAGGAGGCCGACACAGCTTGCCAGGTGCTTTCCGCGACCGTGCAAGCGGCGCGAGCGCAGGTGGCCTCGGGGCCATCCGGGGCGATGCGTGCAGCCGCCGTGATGCGGTTGGTGCGCCACTGCCACCGGCGTCCTGTGCAGCACCTTCCTGGCCCCATCCCGTTTAGGTAGGCTCGCCGGACGGCGCGAGACCGAGAGATTCTGCCCGTCGCGCGCGCTCTAGGGTATACATGTAACCTCGGCGCCAACCCGCCTAGTTTCGTTTCTTTTCTTCCCTACAGCACCCTCTCGTGTCCTCTCTAGTTTCCGGATATCCGTGGAAATTTCAATCAAATTTCCGGTGCGGAGGGTGGCGATAAATAGAGGCGGTTAGAGCACCACGACGCAACAAGATCCACTCTGCAGTACATCCCCCCGTGGAGAAGCAAGCGAAAGCCCACACACAGGCCGTCACAGAGCAATAGCTCGGTGGAGCGTCGAGCCCCACCACCGGCGCCCTCCCCGGGCGCAGCACTGTCCTCAGGCACGCTTGCCGCCCTTCCCGCTGGTGCCGCTATCGAAGAACTCAAACAGCGCGACTGCAAACATCGAAAAGTTGACGCAGTGGAAGCCGGTGCACACGATGCAAAAATCGCCAAGGATGAACTTGAGGACGTACAGCAGGTAGCAGGAGAAGCACGCGCCGGCGGTCGCGACCGCCAGGAAGAGCGGCTGCCGGTACGGGACGAGGTTCAACCTCCACAGGCACGCGGCGACAAAGTAAGCGGAGTAGAGCGCCATGCCGGCGACTGCTAGGCCGATATCGAGGGCGTCGCCCTGCTTCACCAGACCCCAGTGAGAGAGCGGGTGCGCGTACTCGCTCGAGAAGACTGCCGTGCAGGAGAAGCCCGCGCCGATGTCGCACGCAGCCTCGTAGCCGGGCTCGTGCATCTGCGTTTCGACGGAGAGCGCGTACGTGGCGATTGTGAGGCCAACCAAACCCAGGAGCGCCACCTTGATGGCCCGCCGCTTGCTGGCCGCGGTGAGAGGCATATGGTGCCGAGACGCGCGTCCAGTGCGGGTTCCCCCTCCCTGGGGGTAGGGGATCCCGTACCCACACTGGAGCCGAACCCTGGGGAGATTGCGATCTCGGAGCGTGTCACGCTAAGTTTGGGAGCGTGTCACGCTAAGTTCTAATTGCAGTGTCACGCATGGACTCGGACCCCGAAATGCTCCGTGCCAGAGACCTCGGTCACCGACGCGTTAGCTCCTTAATGAAGGACGCGAGATTCACAAATTATGGAGCTCCGGAGAGGGCGGTACGTGCAGCTGTCCGCACGATACAAGCCGCAGCGAGAGGCTTGCTTCAGAGGCTATGGTGGCCGTTCCGGAGGGCGGTGATCCTCGCTGAGAAGGCTGGTCTGCCCATTACAAAGGAGACACTTGCACAGTTTGGCTTCCAGACCACTTAGTTCTAATTGCAGTGTCACGCATGAATGGTGAGTTGGATGAGTTCTGGGAGCGAAACAGATGGACAGAGGCCGATGAGGCGGAGTGGAGACAGCAGCAGCCCCTCTTCGTACAGATCAAGTGGCGATTGCTGGAACTCTACTGGGACTTCCTGCACGCTTGGCATGTGATAGCCCACGCGACCGGACTGAGGCGATTTATGACGCTCTACAAACTCAAACTCGGTGCTGCTGGCTTGGGCTAAGTTCTGATTGTAGTGTCACGCATGGATCTGGTCTGGGGATGGACAGAGGAAGATCAGGCGAGGTTCAGACAGCAGGAGGCCTTGACCGCACGGATCTACTGGCAGATGCATCGACTGTTTTATAAGTTACTGTGGTCCTTTGACCAGATGTTCCACGTCACCGGACTGGAGAAGTTGTGGATGCTATACAAACTCAAACTCGGTGGGGCCATGGCCGCAGGTTAAGTGATGGAATTGGTGGGTCCGCGCTAAGTTCTGACTGCAGTGTCACGCATGCGCCCCGTTGAGATCTCTGGTGTCGGATACATGGGCAACGAGTTGGTGACGACGGGGCTCTCTGCGGGAGGCGGGGTGCGGGCGGCCACTGGCTTGTATTTCTCCGTGATCAAACGCCTAAGGAGGTGGTTAGCATTGGCTCGACGCAACATTAACAAGATGATGCAAGTAGCAGCAATAGAGGACTTGGGCATTAGGTCGCAGACCGTAAGGAAGCGGCGCCATGGCATGTTCTGACAGATCACGCATCAAGATTGAAAAAGAAATGTTCTAAGGGCAGTGTCACACATGGATGCACCTCGGGACTTGCTCAGATCGTTTTTGACCGCGAACACTAAGATACAAGCCGCAGTGAGAGGTTTGATTATGAGGCTGATGTTTCCACTGCGGAAGTTGCTAAGTTCTAAATAAGCATATGTCCGCTGCGGAGTGGGTTCAGGCTCCTTGCGGATACGGGGGTCTGAAATGTAGGTCTACCGCAAGTATTCACCAAACGAGGGGTGGGAGAAGGACACGAGCAGGCAGGAGATCTTGTAAGGACGATCAGGGACACAGGGGAAGGAACGGGAGCGGGAAAGATTTTAGAAACCCTTTCTCCTTCTCTTGGAGCGCATCGCGACACGGTCACACGGAGGGGGGCTGAGGGTTCACCCACACGACAGGGTTCCAGGAATCCCCCCCCTCTCGTATAGGACAGGTTGCACCCGGCGGCACCGGGGGCAGGCGCGGGCCTCCTACTGGTTGCGCTCTCCTAGTTCTCCTGCTCCCGACAAGGTTAGGCTGTACGAGGTTTTCCTCTCGCACCCCGTCTGTTTTCCTTTCCTTTTTTCTCTACAGCACCCTCTCTTTTCCTCTCTATTTTCCCGAGAAAACTCCGTGGAAATCGTCAAATTTTTGGCTCTGAGCCGAGTCTGAGGCTGGTTTGGGCCCAAAATCAGCCAAATTTTAGGCCAAATCGTCAAAATGCCGGGAATTTTGCGGAGAACCCGTGTAGACCTGGAAATTACCCTGCGACCGCCTGGGTATTTTGTCGATTCCTCAATTTTGCCTCAGATTTTGCCCCAGACCAGCTCTCAGACTCAGGGAAACTCGCGAGTTTCCAGAATGGAGCACCAAACACCCTCTGTTTTCCCTGGAAATTTCCGGCAACGCAAAGTGCTGGGGACCCTCTGTTTTCCTTTTTGTTTTCCGGAAAACCTCGTACAGGCCAACGACAAGGGTTGTCAGCGACAGGCTCGCAGCACGGTGGACTCCCTACTCCACTGGCGATCTCTCTCGACTAGCGACCTTCCTCCGGCTTCTCACTGGCAGTCTCTCACTATCACGGGCACACTGACAGAGGCGGCCAAGGCTCACGCCGTTATGCCACCGTTTTCCGCGCACAGCATTTCTTCTTCTTGGACCACTAAGAATTGGCTGGGGCTGCAGAAGCAGCGTATCTCAGTGTCGTTCTTCACACGGCAATCGCAGAGCAGGTTGTGAATGAGCTTGCCTGTGGCGGGGGTGGGCGGGTGCACGGAGCTAAGTGCCTCGCCGCCCTCGCAGGAGTCGCTTAGGCGGCTCCCGTGGTGTACCTGTGTTAGTGCCAGTGCGAGCCAGTCCCGTGCCCAGTAAAGAAAGAAAGAAAGAAAACAGACAACCCAAGGGAGGGATGGGAGGACGGCACGCCGCCACCACACAGGGATTTTAAGGAGAGGTGTGTGGTGCGCTAGCCGTCGCCCACCCTAGGGAGTCTGCCTCTTCCTATCTCTCTTCGCAGTCTCTCGCCGATTCTCGCTGCAACCTTCATGCCACCTCGCGGTCGTCCCACTCTCGTCGTTCTCTCCCTTGTCACTTCCTCCTCTGTCGCGTCGTTCTCTTCTGCCTCGTCCTGCGACGCCGCCGCCTGCCGGTCCCTTGTTCTCGCGGCTTCTTTCGCCTTTCGGCGCAACTCCGTCCTCCTCGCGGCGTATCCTGGCCCCTCGAGTCCATCGAGCTCCCCTCGCGCAAGGACCACATTTCTGACTCCCACTCCGATCATTTGCCTACAGGTCATGTTGTTGCTCAGGTCCACTCTCTCTTCGAACACTCGTGCCTCTACGGATGATGCCGGCGCTGGGGTCCCCTTCGGATGCATCGTGACATCTGACAACTGGATTTCCACTGGTTCGTCCTCCTCGGAGTCATCTTCCCCGTCCTCCTTCCGCTCGGCTCTTCGCTCGGTACGTTCGGTGTGGCTCACCCTCCATGCCGTGAACAGGCGCTTTATCCACCCTATATTCTTCTCCCGTGCCCAATAAATAAATAAATAGAGCAGGCATCTCCAGGGAGAGATGGGCGACGCACACGAACACAGAGGGACAGTGCGCACCCCGCCCCGCTCGCAGGGCGTGCACAGTGTTGTGCGAGGGCCGAAATTCTTCTTCTTCCGTTTACACGCTGTAGCTCGCTGTGTGTGTGTGTGTGTGTGTGTATGCGCTGCGCTGTGGCGGCCTGCGCCACCAGCGCGCTCGAAACACGCCGCAGCAGGCGCACCGTCGTTCCTCCCACGCTCGACATGCGCTCCTCCGACGCGGAGATTCGCGCCGCGCTCGCCGGCGTGCGGGGCGCGCTCAGCCCGGTGCTGGCAATCAAGGGGCACGGGCTGGAGCGCGCGTGCACGGAGCTGGCGCATACGGCGCGCGAGCACCACGCCGCCGCCCGCGCGGCCGGCGCCTCTGCCGAGCCGGAGCAGGAGGCGCTCGCGCTCGACGGCCCGCTGCACGAGCGGGCGGAGGAGCTGCGTTCCGCGCTGCTCGGGCTGAGCGCGCGGCTGCTGCGAGTCGCGCTGGGCGTCGAGTCGGACGCCGAGGCGGAGGCGCGCGCAGGCCGGCTCGAGGGCCGGCTCTGCCTCCGGCGCTACCCGCAGCGCGGCGGGGAGGCTGCGGCGCCGCGGCTCGGCGCGCACATCGACTCGACGGTGCTCACGCTTCTGTGGGCCAACGGGCCGGGGCTCGAGGTGCTGATGCCGCGCGACGGGCGGGGGGGCGAGGAGGGCGAGGGCGGCGAGGGCGGCGAGGGCGGCCGCTGGACGGCGGAGCAGGTGCTCGGCCTCGGCCTGCCGACCGCGTCGGCCGTCGAGCTGCGCGAGGCGCGCGAGGACGAGTGGGCGTGCGTCGAGCTGCCGTGGGAGGAGGGCGCGCTCATCCTGACGGTGGGCCTCGAGTGGCTCGAGAGCGCGCCGCTCCGCGAGCGGATGCCGATGGAGTGCGCCGTGCTGCACCGCGTCGCCGTGCCCGGAGGCCGCCAAGAGCGGCTCTCCCTGCCATTCCTGGTAAACCTGCGGCGAGGGCCCGGCGGCGGCGCGGGAGGCGGTGGGTGACGTTGTTCTCGCCGCGAAAGGGACCAGCCTGCGGGCCGTCTGAGCGGGGTTAGGCGGCGGCGGGCGGCGGAGTAGCCACCCCGTAGAAAATACCCCAACGTGTCGGGAGTCGGGTGAGGGGGTGTTCAGCCGCGCAAAGAAAAAATCAGAAACGGTCGGATGGTCGTAGTTCGATCGGTCCCGATGCCAGTACTTGCTACGAGCTACACCACAGCGGTCAGCGCACACGGCACAGGACTTCGCACAGGGCATGAGAGGACAGGGCGCAAACACACGGCAAGCGGCCAGAGAACGTGCAGCTAGCCCTTGTACGAGCCCTTGTAGCTGGGCCCTCCCAGCACCCCCTTGGCCTTGGCGAGCAGGTCGCGCGGGGGGCGGAGCGCGCACGCGTGCAGCAGCTTGTCGAGGTAGTGGTGCAGCAGCACGATCGAGTGCGACGAGAAGAGCACCACACCTCCCAGCGAGACGCGCAGCAGCGGCGCGCCCGCCTCGCCCGCCAGCCTCGCGACGAGCGCCTCGTCGTCGTCGAGGAGGCCGCGGTCGTCGCCGAGCACGACCACCACGCCGCGCGCCGCGCCTCCCTCGCCGGCCTGCCGCCGCAGCAGCGGCTGCAGCCGCGCGCACGCCGCCTCGATCGGCTCTCCGCGCGCGTGCAGCAGCAGGACGGCCGGCGGCGGGTCGCTCTCCGCGAGCGCCGCCCGCACGGCCTCCTCCGTCGAGCCCGGCCTCAGCAGGAAGCCTCGCCGGTCCGACTGCGAGTACGCGGCCGCGTCGCACACCTCGCCGCCCGGCCCGACCCCGTCCGCTGGCCCGGCAGGCGAGGCCATCGCCGCGTGCAGCCGCACCGCGACCGAGAAGTCGTCGGGCTGGAGTCGGCGGATCGAGGCGCCGCGCACCTCGAGCCGCTGCGCCTCCTCCTTGAAGCAGAGCGAGACGCACGTGTTGCCCCGCAGGCTCTGCGAGCGGAACAGCGCGGCAGAGACGCACGAGCAGCCGACGTCCATCCTGCCTGTGGACATGCACTGGACGCGTCATGGACGCGTGGCATGGGAGAGCGCGAGCACGCGAGTCCACTCTGCCCTGGCGGAGCTCGCGCGGCGCAAAGTCGGTGCGCGCGAGCCGCATCGGAATCACAAAGTGGCGCGAGAAGCAGCCGCACGCCCCCGCCTCCGCCTCGCGCGCGCAAAAGAGGTACCGCTCTCCCGGCAGAGCGCCAAAGGTACACTCTGCCGCGGCGTGCAGCTGCGAGCCGCAGTGGCTGCACCCGGCGCCCTTTGGCCCGGCGCAGTGCTTCGCGATGTGGCCAAACCCGCCGCACTTGCGGCACGCGCGGGTCGGGCACGTGCGGCCCAGGTGGCCCACGCGGCCGCACACGTTGCACGGCCCGACGGTCGAGCCGGCCTCGGGCGGCGCGGCGGCGGGTGGTGGCTTGTCCTTGCGCTTGCGCTTCTTGCCCGGCGGCGCGGCGGGAGGCGTGGAGGATGGCTCCGCCTCTGGACGCTGCGTCTCGGCTACAGGACGATGCGGCTCGGCTACCGCCGCTCCCGCCGCCGGCGGCAGCCGCTCCGCCGCTCCCGCTCCGGCTCCCGCCGCCGCCTGCTGCTCCGCCAGCTCCCTGGCTCGCCTGAGTTGCCGCGCTTTCGTCGAGCCCATGTCCGCCGTCGACGAGAGCGTGGGAGTCGACGAGCGGAGCGTGGAGAGCCTCTCGAAAAGAAGTCTTCCTGCGGTCCGTTCCCCCACCCCTCGCCCAAAGGCGCCTGGAGCGACCGCGGTCCGGTCGCGCCACCGCGGCTGCGGGGCTGATAGAGCAGGCCGGCTGCGGCTCCTGATGTACCTCCGCTTTTGGGTGGCGGTCGCGCGCTGCCGACGGCGCTCGCCGGCGCTACGGCGCTCGCGGCGCGCTCGTGGCGTTCAGGGCGGCTCGCACACGCACACGCACACGCACACACACACACACACACACACACACACACACACACACACACACACACACACACACACACACACACACACACACACACACACACACACACACACACACATGCACAGACACACAGCCCCTTCCCCTCCCCCCTCAAGGGCGAGGACACGCACAGGCCGCACCTCTAGTCGGTGAGGCCCGCATAGTATGTGGGAGACTCGTGCCGCCGCCCCTGCCACCCCTGTGTCAGTGTGCCTGTGGTAGGGAGAGACTGCCAGCGACAAGCTGGAGGCAGGTCGCTAGACTGAGATGAGACCGCCAGTGGATGTGGGAGTCCACCGCGCACCGCGCTGCGAGCCTGTCGTGTCCCTTGTCAGGAGCAGGAGAGCCCCACCTGTCCCCCTGATCGTTCTTCCAAAATCCTGCTCGTGCAGGTGGGGACCCTGTCCTCGTCCCATCCCTCGTTTGGCGTGTCTGTTTTCTTTCTTTCTTTCTTTCCTCGCGCCCCGCCCCGTTATTTCTTTTCAATGCCCACCTTGTGATTTTTGGGTCAAAATCGTCCCGATTTCATAATGTTCGTTCGTACGTGCATCCGCGGCGCCCAGCGCGGTGCCAGCGGCTCCCATACCTCTAAGAGGCCACCCACCTCCGTATAGACCCTTATATCCGCGGTTTACGCCCAATAGAGGCAGCTGCAAGAGGGCCCGGACGGGCACTGCGGCACACACTGCTCGCTGCTCGGCCATGCGGTAGCGTCTGGTGATGCCGCCCCTGCGCGGGCGGGGGCGTCTCGCTCGGCAGCAACTGCGCCGCGCAGCGCAGGTTCGAGGGTCGCGGTGGGTGGGTGCACTGGAAGACGTAGCGGTCGAGAAAGCGCTCAGCGACCGCTACGTCTCGAGGATGGAGCCGTCGCGCGGACCCGACCGGCCGACCGGCAGTAGCAGCAGGCGCCGGAGGGCGCGGGAGGCAGCGGCGACACCTCGGGCCAGAAGCGCGAGCCCTAGGCTGGTGAGGGGGCCCGCTCATGCGTAAACGGCTCTGGGACTTAGCTAAATCGCGCATCGAAATCGGGACGATTTTGCCAGGGCACCGTCACAAGGTGTGGTGCGCTCGACCCATAAACTTGCTGTCTGCCTCGCTCGCGTTGCGGCTGAGACGCGCGCGCGCGGCCCGACACTCTCTCCCCACCCAGCGCGTGCTGCGCGACTAAGACGGGCTCTGAGATCTTCCAGCTGCCTCCATCGATGCCGATCGCGCCGACGATCACCGGCACGGGCGGCGGCTTCCGGAACCGGCTCGACCTCGAGGAGGGGAACAAGACCGACGACGACAAGATCATGGCCGAGTGGGGCAAGTCGAAGCTTGGAGGATAGCGTAGGGTGCGATTTCGATAGTTGTTAGCACGTTACTAAAAAGGGAATTGTGCCTTTGTTTCTAGCCCGTCGCTGCCTCCTCGATGCCGCGCCAAACGAGGGAGACAAGCACAAGGATCGGAGCTCCGACACAGCCCTCCTGCCTTCCTGCTCCTCCTCCAATGTATCCCCAAAGCAAAACGGCTGTAGTAACAATTTTAGGAGACGGGTTCTCTGCACCACGGCGTTCATCCCCTCATCCAGTAGCGCCCTATTCACGCGCGCGCGAGACGTGCAGACAGGGGGTTGCCAGGTTAGAGAGCGAATGGCGTGGTGCCCTGTTCACGCGGCCCTGTTCACGCGCGCCGCGCGCGCGAGACGTGCAAGGGTTCGTGGGGCACAGGAGAGCGATGAGGCACAGGAGCGGGACGATGCGGCTCCGCTCCCGCTCCGGCTCCCGCCGCCGCCTGCTGCTCCGCTAGCTCCCTGGCTCGCCTGAGTTGCCGCGCTTTCGTCGAGCCCATGTCCGCCGTCGACGAGAGCGTGGGAGTCGACGAGCGGAGCGTGGAGAAGCCTCTCGAAAAGAAGTCTTCCTTGCGTCCGTTCCCCCACCCCTCCGGGTACCCACGCGGCGCGGTTATTTCTTTTCAATGCCTGGTGCGCTCGACCCCATAAACTTGCTGTCTGCCTCGCTCGCGTTGCGGCTGAGACGCGCGCGCGCGGCCCGACACTCTCTCCCCACCCAGCGCGTGCTGCGCCTTCGCCCGCCGCGCGCGCGCGCAGAGACCCGCTCTCCGCAAGGTCCGGCGTCCGCGCTCTGACGCCCCTGTGCCGCGGGCCGCGCACAGGGGAGCTGCCGTGCGCCTGAAGGCGCGGCACCATGTTCTGGTCGCTGCACGCGGGCACGTCGACCATCGACACGCTGCTCAGCAGCGAGGAGGGCTTCACCCTCGAGCAGCTGCTCGATGAGGACGATTTGCTGCAGGAGTGCAAGTCGCAAAACACAAAGCTGCTCGACTACCTGACCGAGTCGGCGACGGCCGCCAGGCTTATCGACTACGTCATCGAGATGCCGGCGGAGGACGACTCCGAGGCGCGGCGCTTCAAGTACCCGTACGTCGCGTCCGAGGTGCTCAGCTGCGACGTAAACTCGATCCACGAGGTTCTGCTCGCCGACTCGAGCCGGCTGGTCGAGAAGCTGCTCTCGATCCTGCAGCAGTCGCCGCCGCTGCCGCCCGTCCTCATCGGCTACGCCGCCAAGGTCCTCATCGCGCTCTACAAGTGCTCGCCCGAGAGCTTCGCCGCGAGCTTCTCTGCGCTGTGGGAGGGCGCGGCGGCCGCCGACAGCGGCTCGCAGCTGGCACTGCCGCGGCTGACGGAGAGGCTGATGGCGCACCTCGGCTCCGACGCGGTGCTTCAGATGCTGACGGTGCTCTGCGTGGGCGAGCCCGTCATGGCGGAGCCGGGCATGGCGCAGCAGCTGCAGCCTCCCGCCGCGGCGTGGATCCCGCACGAGGTGCTGGTGCCGGCGCTCTTCGAGCAGCTGGCGGCGCCCAACCCGGAGGCCGCGCAGAACGCGTCGGCCCTGCTGACCACGCTGCTCGAGGCGAGCCCGGCGCTGCCCGCCTGCTTTTGCGAGCCCGAGCTCGAGGCCCGCGAGAGGTGCGAGACGCTGCTCAAGATGTGCCTCGGCGCCGCCGGCCACCCAAACGGCGGCGGCGGCGGGCTCAACCTGCCCGCGCTCGATGTGCTGGTGAGGCTGCTCGTGCGCTGCCGCGAGATTGGGGCGAGTAGCCCGTCGTGCGCGGACCACCTGCTGCGTGGCGTCGCCGAGTCGGTCGACGCCTTCTTCGTGGCCATCGCGACGCCGGCGCAGCTGCCAGAGCGCATCAGCCGCTTCTTGCCCGAGAAGGGCGCGCGAGCGATGCCGCGGCCCCAGGCTGTGACGCGCTGCAAGCTGCTCGCCCTCTTCGAGGAGGCGCTGCGGCGCGAGGAGCCGGAGACGCTGATAGCGCTCTGCCAGCTCGGCTTTTTCCACGTCGTGCTCGACTTGCTGCTGCTGCCGCACCACTGCAACGCGCTGCACATGCGGACCGCGGCCCTCATCGACGTGGTGCTGTCGGACCGGAGCGCCGAGTCGGCCGAGTCGGCGGCGACGCGCGAGCAGGTGCTCCACTCGCTGCTGGTCGAGGCGCAGCTGCCCCAGCGCCTCATGGAGTGCGCCACCGCCTCGAGCGAGATGGCGGTCCGGCCGTCGGGGCACGCCTATGTGATGGTGCTGCTGCGCGCGCTGCTCGAGGCGGCGGCGAGGGAGCAGAGCATTTCGTCGGCGCTCGAGGCGGTCGAGGGCTGGGACGAGTTTGTGGGCCCGTCGGGGCTGCTCGCCTCCTGGGAGAACGTCCAGTCCAAGCCGCTCGGCGGCAAGATGCCGCAGCGCGCCTCGGACGAGGACTCGGACGGCGACGAGTACGACGGGTCGCGCGAGCTGGAGCGGGCCCTGCAGCTGCAGGCGCAGCTGCGCGCGCAGCAAGAGAACTCGAGTTCGGGCGAGGACAGCGGCTCGGACGGCGCGGGCCCAGTACCTCGGCCCATCACTGATGAGTGAGCGGTGAACGAGCGAGCGCGGTGACAATAGGCGAGGGCCCGTACCTCGAGCACTTCGCGCAGCTGCTCTCGCAGCGCAACTTTGTCAACGACATGGGCGCCGAGCTCGACGAGGCGCGGAGAGATGCGCGGGGCGAGGCGGGGGGAGATGGGGAGATGGGGAGATGCGTTGCGATGTGGCGAGGTATGGGCGCCGCGCGCGCTGTGACCGTGCCGCGCGCGCGTGCGCCGCAGGTGCTACAGGACGGCAGCGGGGGGGGCGCGAGTGCGCAGTGGGACGCGTCGTTCGATGACGATGAGTTCGACACGGAGCCGCTGCCGGCGCAGCCACTCGGCGCGGGCGGGGGCACCGCGAGCTTCGCAGACTTTGGCGCGTCGGCGCCGGCGGCTCCCGCGGCAGACTTTGCGGCGTCGGACTTTGCAGCGTTCGACGACGCGGCGGAGGCGCCGGCCAAGTCCGACGCGTCGCCTCCGGACTTTGCAGCGTTCGACGACGCGCCCGCCGAGGCGCCCGCCGCCGAGGCGCCCGCGTCGGACTTTGCGGCGTTTGACGTGGCGGACGTCTCGGCAAAGTCCGACGCCCCGGCCTCGGATTTCGCGGCCTTTGGCGATGAGGACGCACCGGCGGCGTTCGCTGCGGACTTCGGCGGCGCACCGGAGCCAACTCCCGGTGCGGCTATGCTCGCGGCCGCCCCGGCCCCTTGCTCGCCGCCTCACCACTGCCCTTGCGTGTAGGCGAGTCCTCGGCGGAAAACGCCGCGGCGGCGCCCGACCCCGTGGCTGATGGTCTAGGGGAGAGCAGCGCAGCGCCGCTTACCGGATGACAGTTCAGTTCGCAGCCGCACAGCGCCTCGCCCGCGTGCAAGGGCCCAAAGCCGTGGCGTGCCCAGGCTACTTCACCCTCTCACTCGATCTGCCGACCACACAGGGCAGATCGCCTTTTCCTTTTATGTACATCTCTCTGGGTGCTGTGCGTGCCGGTTGCCGCATATAAGGTAGAGGATCTGTTTTGAAAAGCACAAAAAACGAAGCGCGACAAGCGTGTATATGTCAGCCCCATGGCCCCGTGCGTCGAAACGGCGAGTAAAGGGTCCCCGGGGTAAAGTACGAGGGGTACGGGTAGCGCCGGTTAGTGGGGTAGTGCGTAGCGAGCGTAGTGGCGGCCCACGTCTGCAACCGCAGAGCTCGCGGTGTGGTCTCACGTCTCCCCCCCTTCTCCCTGCACGGATACCACCTGTGCCCCTTCACCGCTCTCGCGTCTACCGTAACGCGCGGATCCGCGGGGCCGTGGCGCGGGTGCGCGCACCGCGCTCTGCTACAGCCGCTCCGCCTTGCCTCCCTGGTTGCACGCGGCGAGCAAAAAGGACTTTTCTCTCTCGGCCGCGTCGAGCCGCGCCTTGAGCGACCTCGTCTCCTCCTCGGCAAAGTCGAGCCGCGCCTGCGCCTCGAGCAGCGCGTTGTGCTCGCCAGACACCTCGGCGCGCGCGCGCTGCGAGACCGCTTGCGCCACGCGCGCCTTCTCCTCGGCACCGTGCAGCGACGCGCGCAGCCCGGCCAGCGCCTGATCGCCATTCACAGTGTCAGGCACGGATGGAGCGGGATGGCATCGCAGCTCGGCCGGCGCCTGCTCGTCGCGGATCGCCCTCTCGCGCAGCCGCATCACCTGTTGAGTGGTTCGTGGATCGAATGAGTCTTCAACAAGTCGTGCGGATCGCCCTCGCGCGCAGCCGCGTCACCTCGACCGTCGCGTCGTCCGCCACGGCGCGGAGCTTGCTCTCGCTGGCGCGCGCCTCGCTCGCCTGCTGATGCGCCACCCGCAGCTCCGCGCGCCCCGCCGCCTCCTCCTCCGCCCGCGCCTCCGCCTCGGCTTGCAGCTGCTCGCACCGCTCGCGCGCCGCGCCCGACTCCGTCCACGCGCCGGCCAGCTCCTCGCTCTTTGCGTCGAGCGCCTTGCGCAGAGCCGCCTCTCGCTCCGCCGCGCCCGCAGCCTAGAGGGGAGGGGACAGCTCGCGCCACCGCGGGTGGCGGCGGGCGGCGGGTGGCGGCGGGTGGCGGCGGGTGGCGGCGGGTGGCGGCGGCGTCACCTCGCGTGCGTGCTCAGAGGCCGCCGCGGCCGCCTCTTCGCGTGCCTGCTGCAGCTCGGCCGCGACCGCGCCCGACGTGCCCCAGTCGACCAGCAGCTGCGACTGCAGCTCGTCGGTCGCTCGCCGGAACCATTCCTCGGTCTGCTCCCTCCAGCGCGTCTGCAGCTCCGCGCGCTCGCGCTCCGCCTCTGCTCGCGCCGACTCGGACTGCTGGAGGCGCTTCACAAAGAGGAGGTTCTCCGCCGCGAGCCGCGCCAACACACCGCGCTCCCGCTCCAGCTGCGCGTCCAGCTCCAGGCGCCCGGTGGCGGACGCCTCGCTCGCGGCCGCCGACTCGCGCGCGGCCGCCGCCTCGCGCACCGCAGCTGCGGCGGCCGCCTCGGCGGCCGCCGCGCGCGCCTCGGCGGCCGCGGCCCTGCTGGTGGCATCGTCCACTGCGGCGCGCAGCGCTGCCGTCTGATCCGCCACCGCCGCCTCGGCCCGAGACCGAGCTGCCGCCGCCGCCGCCTCGGCGGCGATGGCGCGGGCGTCGGCGTCGGCGATCGAAGACTGCGCGGCCTCGAGATCGGCGAGCGCTGTGCGCGTCCGCCCGAGCACCATTGCGGAGAGGTCACTCGCGATGTCGAGCGAGCCCTTGGCCACCTCAAGCTGACCCAGCCCGCGCTTGCCGAGCGTCGCTCGCGTCGCCATCGAGAGGTTCGCGCTCGCCGGCTGCTGCGACTGGAGCAGGTTGACGAGCGCCTCGTGCAGCTGCGAGCGGGAGGAGGAGCACAGGCGATCGAGCTCGACCATGCCGAGAGCCTGGTCGAGGTCCATCGCGGCCGTTGGGAGGCTTGGCGGGAGCGAGGAAGGTCACACTGTCGAGCCTCTTCACGAGACCTCGAAAGAGTCTCGAGTACCTCCAGGACGCTCCTGAGTACATGTACCACTTTTTCAATGTATGTGGCTCTTACGTACTTTTTTAAATAAATTGGGAGGGAATGTACGCTGACGCTTGCGCACGACCTAACACGGCACTTTCCTGGTAAATAAATATACCCACCTGTCCTAAAAGGCACAGCGCGCGGGGTCGCCGGCGGGGGCAACGCGTCGACCTCTCTCTCTGGTGCACCACGGGCCGCGACGGCTGCTGGCAGCAGGCGCGAGGAGGCAGTGTGTGCCGGCACAGTCGAGCCGGAGCATCGGGTTCTTGATGCTTGTGTGTGGGAGATCAAAGGGAGGGATGGGAGGACGGCACGCCGCCACCACACACACAGGGATTTTAAGGAGAGGTGTGTGATGCGCTAGCCGTCGCCCACCCTAGGGAGTCTGCCTCTTCCTATCTCTCTTCGCAGTCTCTCGCCGCTTCTCGCTTAAGCCTTAAAGTAAACACGGGTCTGCGCGAAGAGTTTTTTTTGCTTGCGCCAAAACAGCATGCCGGCCGACAGCCTTGCCTCCGTGGTTGGGGAGCTCCAGGGCGTGCTGTCGAAAGATGTTTCGAACGCCGTCGCGCAGGAGCGCAGCCTATTGAGCGAGCGCCGCCGGGTGTTCCACCGTCTCCACCGTCAGCGGCGGCGGAGGCGAGGCGCGGCCCACGCGGCGGCTCAGGAGTCGCCGCCCACGTTTCTGGTCCTCGGCTTCGTGACCAATCCGCGTACGCCAAAGACGCGCGAGTGGATCCGCCAGACCGTGCTCGTGCCAGCAGCCGAGGCGGAGGGCATCTCCTCTGCCCGGCGCCAAGGCAGCCCACCACTGACGGCCCGCCCCGGTACGTCTGCAGGTCGGCGCCCCGGCGCTGATTCGCTTCGTCGTGGGCAAGCGCGGCCTCTCGCCTCGCGACGTGCAGCAGCTCGACGACGAGCGGCGGCGCGTCGGGAAGGACGACTTTGCCGTCGTCGACGCGTCCGACTTCAACGAGGCGGGCGGCATCTACTCGTGCATCGACAAGCTGTTCGCGTGGTTCCGCCACGCGCCGGTCGCCTACCCGGGCGCCTCCTTCTACGCAAAGGCGGACGACTCCTCATGCAGATGATGCGTGACGAAGAACGATGATGACGAGTATGAGCATGTTTGTGATTGTTTAAAGGCGGACGACGACTCGTTCGTCGACGTCGCGAGGCCCGCCTCTCCTTCCTCTGGCCGGCCGGCGGGCCTACTCATTCACAGCCACCCCTAACTCATCCAAGCAACAGGCTCGCCTCCTTCCTCCGGCCGGCGGCGGGCCTGCCGCGCGTGTACGGAGGCACCTCCAGTCGACTCTAATAAATATTTATTCTTTATTTACTTACCATTATTTATTTTATTAGGCTACCTCCAGTACGACTCTTTCGTGACAGAGGAGTGGAGGTGCTGTGGTGGGTGGCGGGCCTCGAAAGGATGCTGTAACGACATCAGGAGCCGTGTGTTACCCTTCCAGGCACTGCGGCTGGTCGGCGGGCTTGGTCGGCCCGATGGCAGCCCGTGTCCACGACATGTCCACGACATGTCCGAGGCACGGCCTCTGTAGGCGGGGCCGGTCGGCGCGGCGCACGCGCGGAGGCACGCATGCCGGGAGGGGCTCCTGATGGTGAGAATGTTGTGATGCTGACTGGTGTGCCATTCTCACAGGCACGGCTGCCCGAAGGAGCGGCGCGTGTACGGCCCCTTTCCATTCGTGGTCGGGGCCCTGACGGTGATGGGCGGAGACTTGGGCGAGATGAGCCGAGATGAGCCGAGATGAGCGCAGATGAGCCGAGATCACATCCCGCGGGCGTGGAGAGAGGGGCGGGCTAGGTCCTGGCGAGGACTAGGCGGGCTCGCATCCCACACCACTACCACCAGCGATGACCACAACGACACTAGGCGACTGGTTCGCGTCTTCGCCGCACGTGGCGCGCCTCGTCGAGAAGGGGCGGGGCACCTGTTCACAGCAGGAGGTGTGAAGAGACGCTGTTCACAGGCGGGGCTCGTCGAGAAGGGGCGGGCGACGCAAGGGAGGCCGCAGCATTGGGTGCCGCTGCCGGTGCGGGGAAGGCACCGCTCTGCCAGAGGGCCTCCCTACAGCCTGACGGGGTGGGGTGGACTGGCGGTAGGACTGCGGCTACTCGGACGTGACGCTGGGCTACGCACTCGGCTCGGCCAACCTGTCCCTCTCCCTCCTCTCGGCGCCCCGCCCTCTCCCCCGCGGTGAAGCGCGCGGCCTCGCCTCCGGGTGAGCGAGTGGTGCGTGTGCGTGGCGGAGTGTAGGCCTCTTGCGCGGTGCGAGACGCGAGCTGTGATTGGCACTCAATCGCTGAGTACGAGTCAACCAACAACAACAGGTCTCCGATGCGATGCGAGACGCCACGTACGGGGCGATGGACGCGAGTCGCTTCGTCGTCTCGCACCACCTGCGCAGCGGGCAGATGTTCGAGCGCGAGGCGGCGCGGGCAAAGGCGCAGCCGGCGTGGTCGCCTCTCCTCGGCCCGCCCGACTCCCGCCCCCTCCACCTCACGAGAGGACCCGAGGTGACACGCACACGAGATGGCGCCGAGTGTAGGCGAGTGCGAGGCGTGGCCGGCCGTGCGCGCCGAGGCGGGCGGCGCGTCGGCCGAGCTGCAAGCGGCGATGCGCACGTTCGAGTGTTGCCAGCAGTGGAAGCTGTGCCGGCTCGGGCCGGCGGCCAAATAGGGGCCAGTGGTCGGAGGCGGGAGTGTGCCCGGCCGGAACGCGCACTGACAACCGCGACGGCGCGTAATTATGGGGGCGCATTCGGAAGAACGGGCGCGAGAGGTGGAAGGGGAGGCGCTGGCGCACACACTGATTGTGACACTCTTTCGAATCGTCGTATTGCAGTTCAACGCAATGCACTGAGGCCGGGTGTGTCTGTCATCTGTCTCTGAATTGTGAGTCTGATGATTGCTCGTACTGACGTACTCCCATGCCGCGTTTCGCGACACACATCCCCGCATGACACATACACTCTGCATGCACGAGATGCACACATGTGCGGGCACGCATTGCTAACGTGTCACACGCGATGTGCATGCACATATGCAAAATGATGCAAGTAATGAAAGATGCCAGAAGCAGAACGACATGGGACCGAAATGAAATAGATTTTGGATACCATACTGATGGGGAGGGGGCGATGACCGCGCGCGCAGCACGCGCCCAGAGAGCGCTCAGCGCTCCCTTGACTCTTGTCCTGTTGCTGGTCAGACACGAGGCGCGCGCACCCAAGCAGCAAGGCGACCCCGCCTGTGAGCTGTGTCATTCATCTGCGCCGCCCCCCTGCTCGCTTGCCTCGGCGGGCGGCGGCATCGCGAGGGCCTCTTCGAGGTTGAGCATGATGACCTAGAGAGCAGTCCTCGTCGCGCTGAAGGCAACCCGCCGCCACGCTGCCCTCCTCCTCCTCAGGTGCGTGCTGACGTTGCACAGCCGCGTCATCGGCGTGATCTCGAAGGGCTGCTCGACCTGCACGCCACACCTCGGCTCACCTCGGCTGATCTCGGCTGATCTCGGCTGATCTCGGCTGATCTCGACTCCTCTCGGGCGACGCATCAGCTCGGTGCCCGACCTGCACCCCAACCTCCTCGATGCCAACGAAGATGTAGCTCACCAGGAAGACCCAGAGCGAGATGTGCGCCGGCGACATGCTGCCCGCCAGCACGGCGGGCAGCCCGAGCAGCCAGAGCAGCATGCAGCGGATCACATGCCGCGACCTGCAGGAAGGGTGCCGGAAGGGTCGTGGGCGGCGTAGAGGCAGTGCAGCGGAGGACGGTGGCGAGACATCGTCGGCGGCACGGGCGACGAGAAGACGCGCTCGCAGCCGCCCACGACGAGGTCGAGCTCCTTGAGGTCCTGCGGCGGCGAGGGGAGGGCGGAGCAGGGTGAGAGGAACGGCGAGGGGAGGGCGGAGCAGGGTGAGAGGAACGGCGAGGGGAGGGCGGAGCAGGGTGAGAGGAACGGCGAGGGGAGGGCGGAGCAGGGTGAGAGGAACGGCGAGGGGAGGGCGGAGCAGGGTGAGAGGAACGGCGAGGGGAGGGCGGAGCAGGGTGAGAGGAACGGCGAGGGGAGGGCGGAGCAGGGTGAGAGGAACGGCGAGGGGAGGGCGGAGCAGGGTGAGAGGAACGGCGAGGGGAGGGCGGAGCAGGGTGAGAGGAACGGCGAGGGGAGGGCGGAGCAGGGTGAGAGGAACGGCGAGGGGAGGGCGGAGCAGGGTGAGAGGAACGGCGAGGGGAGGGCGGAGCAGGGTGAGAGGAACGGCGAGGGGAGGGCGGAGCAGGGTGGCGAGAGGTGCGCGGGAGGGGAGGGCGGAGCAGGGTGGCGAGGTGCGCGGGAGGGGCCGGGCGGTGTCGCCTCCTCGAGCTTGCGGTAGACCATCGGGTGGAGCGTGCCTGAGGGCGCAGGGGGGCGTGGGCGTGTCGTGGGCGTGGGGCAGCCCTGCGGCGCGCCTCGAGGGCGATGGCGGCGCCGACGCGGAGCTGCGCGTGCAGCTGCCTCCGCATCGCGCCGAGCAGCAGCAGCGGCCGCGAGCGCGCCTGGCCGATGAAGTCCACCTCCTCGGCAGGCAGGAGCACGCGCAGGATGTCGGTGTCCTCGCCGGGCCGCAAGCCGCGCGTCTTCCCGACGCCGTCGCCCTTGCCCGTCAGCTTGGCGTTCAGCTCCCAGGGGAAGGCGGCGAGGTAGCGGCACACCTTAGACGCGGCTGCGTGCGAGGCGGGCGCTCGCTCCGCCGGCAGGCTGCGGTCGAAGAGGAGAGCCGTCGCGACTGTCTGGGCCGCCTGCTGGTCCCACTCTCGGAGGTTACTTCATCACCCATTGACAGGGCCGGGGACGATGAGCGGCAGGGAAGAGTCTGGGGAGTGTCTGAGAAGTGTCTCGGAGGCGTCTCGGCCGCCTGCCGGCAGAGGAAGACTGCCCTCCCCCACAGCAGCCGCGCCTCGGCCACCCTGCCGTACAGGTTGTTGACGCGGAAGACGAGGAGGAGCCCGATCGCAGAGCCCATCGCCGTCAGCGGCAGGGGCGACGTGCGCGGCAGAAACCTCGCGGGCAGCGAGGCGACGCAGAAGGACCAGAGCGAGAGCGAGAGGCAGATCGGCCACACCGAGGCGAGGACGGTCGAGTGGCGCCACGTCACGCCGGTGCGCAGCCAGCGGCGGAACGGCGACTTGCCCGTGTACGCGCTCCACGTCTCGTGCGAGAAGAGCTGCGTGAAGGACGGCTCCCCGGTCACCGAGCCAGACACCTTGTACATCGGCAGCAGCCCAGCCGACTCCCACAGCTTCTGCTGCACCTCGGGCGACTGCTCCGTCGGGCGGAGCTCGCGTATCCTCGCCAGCTTGCGCTGGATTGCGTCGGCGGTGGACTCGGCGCTGCGCTGCAGCTCCAGCGCCGCGGCCGTGCTGCTCAAGAGCGGGCCGGCGCGGCGCAGCCCGAGCGCCGGCGCAAACCTACCGTTGTGCGACGTGGAGACGAGCGCCGACGCCTCGGCAGAGAGCAGGGCGAGGGCGATGGTGGCCATCCACGAAGAAGAGGGCTAGCGGCAACAGTCGTTGCGGCCGCGAGAGGGGCGGCAAGTCGTGCAAGGCGCGGAGAAACTTGTGGTGTGATGGGTGTGATGGCCCCTAGGGGCCTAGAGAACACAACCCCCTCTCTCTTTTGTCCCAGTAAGCTAAAAAAAGTACGTACATAACATCGAAGGCTAAGCTCAAAAAAGCACGTACATTGAAAAAGAATTTTCCAAAAAAACTCCCTCGCACAATACTGGGCACGGGACTGGCGCGCACTGGCACTAACACAGGTACACTGAAAAAGAAGAGAATTCTTAAGATACAAGCCTCTCTCACAGCACACTGGCACGACAAGGGCGCGGACTGGCGCGGACTGGCAAAGAAGAGAAACATCGCCTTAACTGCTCATCGATTCTGGCCGATGGGTGGCGCTGCCACATCCGTGGCGACGCCCGCCGCAGAAGCGCGGAGCGGCCTCTCCCTCCTCACGACGATGCAGTGGTTCTACGGCCCGACCTGGGGCAACACGCTGCAGATCTGCCCCGAGCGAGCTGCCCTGAGCCGCCGGAAGCCGTGCGTCAAGTGGGTCAACGTGCATGCACGTCAGCTCGAGCTGCTGGAGGTGTCGGCGGCGGCATGCAGCCGCCTCGGCCGCCATCGGCTGAGGAAGCCTGCGTGCCCCGCGCAGGTGCTCCGGCGCAATGTGCTCCACGCCGCCGTGTCGGACCTCCACCTCCTCGTCGCAGAGGCGCCGCCCGTGGAGGCGCTGCTCAGCAGGCTGCGCTGGTACGAGAAGCGGAAGCACATGCTGCACGTCGTCGGGATTGCCGAGCGCCCCTCCTTCCGGACGTACCTCGCCTACGCCTCGCGCCACCTCGTCGGCCGCACCGTCGTCTTTCTCAACCAGGACGTGTACCTCATGCCGGAAGGGCGGTGGGCCGAGCTCGCAACCTCCGGCCTCCCGGCCCGCCACACGTACTTCCTCTCCCGCTACCACCGCCGGACGGACTACGACGTGCGCAGAAGCGCCGAGGCGGCCTCCTCCCTCGGCCTCCTCAACCTCACCGACGCCGGCGCGCCAGCGGACGGCGGGCAGCTGCAGGGCAGGCGGCTGCAGGGCAGGCGGCTGCAGGGCAGGCGGCTGCAGGGCAAGTCGAGGCTACTGCAGGGCAAGGGCAAGCTGTTTGCCAAGCCTGCGGCGTGGGGGCAGCGGACGTGCGACATGAGCGGGCCGTCGTACGGCGTGTGGCGGCGCACGCTCTGCTCGAAGATCAACTTTGGCTCCTGCGACGCGTGTGTCTGCTCCCCAAAGAAGAGAATGAGCTCGAGAAGAGGAGAGAGAATGGTGTAGGCTCCTACGACGCGTATGTCTTCTCCCTCGCTTCTCCGCTCTCCGAGGCGAGCGGACCCCTCGCCCATGCACTCCTCACACTTTCCCGCCCTCGATCCGCCCTCGATCCGCCCGACCGGCGCTCCGCCGCCCGGCCGGCGCTGCGCCGCCAGCGCGGGCTGCAAGCGCGGGCTTGCCTGGCGCTTCCCGCCGCCCGCTGGCCGCCCGGTTGCGGAGTCCTCCGCCACAGAGCTTGCGCCGCTCCTTGCTGCCCAGCTGCCTCACTGCCGCTTGCCGCCCTGCCCCTCCAGGCGCACCTCTCGCTGTTTGACTTTCCGCAGAACGCGTGGGGCGGGGGCATGTCCTCCTCTGCATCTCCACGCGAGATCCGCCGAGATCAGCCGAGATTGGCCGAGAGTAGGCGGCGAGAATGTCCTCCTCTACATCTTCACGCGCGCGCTCGGCTACTCCGCCTCCAACCCGTGCCTCGACCTCGCCGTCAACCACGCGCACTGCCAGCTGCCCTCCTCCTTCGGGCCCCGCCTCTGGGGCGAGAGGTAGCAGAGAGGCAGCTCAGAGGCAGCGGAGAGGCAGCAGGAGGGGTAGCGGAGAGGCAGCGGAGAGGTAGCAGAGGGGCCCTGCTCTCTGAGGGTGGCGCCTCCGCCTCCGCCATCGCCACCGCCCCAGACCCGCACGCCACACGCCGCCACACGCCACCACGCGCCGCACACCTCCCCCACCCTCTCACATCCGGAACCCTCGCGGCAACAAGCCCCGTCGGCCTCGCGCCACCGGCCTCTTCGCCCCCGCGCCGCCCAGGCGACGCCCGCCAGGCCAAGGGCACGGTGACGAGGGCGGTGCAGGCGAAAATGCGCGCGATGGGCCTCGAGGTCGACCTGACGCCAAAGGCAGTGGGTGATCTCACGCTCAACGTCACGGGCCTCGGCACACCCTCCTCCGCCTGAGGGGCCGCGGCCGGAGAACTCTCGGCCGCGTCTCCGACTCAGCCAGTCCGGCGGCGCCGCCCCGCGCCCCGGCTTTGGCAAGCCGGGGCTCTCGCCTTTGAAATTTTGCCAGGGCTTGCGCGGGGGGCCGCGGGCGCGGCAGGTGTGGAGAGAGTGTGCTCAATGTTCATAAGATGACAGCGTGACAGATCGGGGGTAACGTCTAACGACACACGGGTGGCAATAGTCCCGGGCCGAGAGTGCCGGGAGAGGGGTGAGGGAGTGTAATACGGAGTATTGTGTACAAGAGAGTAGACGAGCGAGCGTCCTCGGACCTCGCGCTTCGCGCGCTCTCGCGCTGCTGCAGAAATCCCGACGCCATTGAAGACAGGCGTCAAACCTCGTCCTTTGCGGCGGCGTCCGACTTTGCGCGGATCTCTACGTCGTACTTCTTGTACAGCGCGTCGAACATGCGGCTCTCCCTCCCCTTCCACTTGTCCAGCGCCGCGTCCACGCCCGCGATCTTGTCGTCGAGCCCATACCTCGAGTAAAAGTCGACGAGCTCGTCTCGCCACTCTGCCCTCGACTTGCGGCCGCCGCGCCCGCCCATGGACGCGCCCATCTGCTCCGGGTTCATGTTCTTCAGGTCGTCCGCCGTGAACATCTTAATGCCCTCCATCCCTGGCATCCCCTTCATAGACGCGAGCAGGTCCTCGATGCTCTGGTCTTTGCCCTTGCCGGCGTCCGCAGGCGGCTCCTCGGGCGGCAGCAGCGGCGCGTCCTTGTTCTGCTCACACAGCGTCACATAGTCGGCCTTCTCCGCGCACCCCTCACACTTGAGCCCTCGAGCCGCCAGCCACTTTCGCAGCTCCTTTGTCCGCATCGCGCCGCAGTCAACCTCGCTATCCGTTGCGGCGACTGCCAGCAGGAGAGCGGACATGATGATAAGTGCGCTGCGTGCGCGAACGGTGCGCATGTAGTTGGCTTGGATTAGGCCCAGCGGCGCGGTGTAGGATTGTGGCCGTACCGCGTACCGCTTCACACCGAGGGCGCTTCGATGACGTTGTTGCTGGCAGCCTGTCCTGTCGAAAGAAAGATCTGGCCGCACAGATGCCAATCATCCGGCCCGCTGGGTGCGCTTCTTAGCTCCCCGGCCCTGGATGTGCGGTTAATGACTGCACTCCAAGTGCTCCAAGTACTGACAGAGGAGAGGGGAGCCTCCGCCGGAGTGAGGATGGGGACCCCGCTCGAAGGGGCCCTGAGCGGTGACGTCGTGTGAGAGTGCGTGTCGTGTGCATGTCTGGTGTTCATTATAGCTCCGAGTAGAGGGGGCGTTCCGCTGCTAGGGGAAACCCGGAGCGCGGAGCCAACCCTCGGAGACCCGTCTTTACTCTACGGCCCTTTCCCTGCGAACGCGCACCCCCAGGGCTAGGGCTCTCTTGCCCGCAAGCCAACCCGATCCCGATCATCCGGCCCGCTGGGTGCGCTTCTTAGCTCCCCGGCCCTGGATGTGAGGCTGCCAACTGCACTCCAAGTGCTCCAAGTGCTACTCCCTGCATCTCTGCAGAATGTCCCTTGTAACGTGAGAGAGTGCGGTTATTTTTTGTACCGCTTTCTCTTCACAAGTAGACGCCCGAGGGTGGGCGACGGCTAGCACCACACACACTAGAGAAGAAGATCTCTCTCTCTCTCTCCCACCACACTCAAACAAATCTCCACACTCACTCCTCTCCTTAAAATCCCTGTGTGGTGGCGGCGTGCCGTCCTCCCATCCCTCCCTCCTTAAAGGTTCTTTCTTGCCGCGGTGTGGTCGGTGTGGTCGGCTTCCTCGCCGACGAGCGGCGGCTCAACGTCGGCCTCACGCGCGTGCACGCGACACCAAGCTGCTCAATCCTCGCCGACGTCGAGACGCTCGCGTCGGGGAGCAAAGGGCGCGCACCGCCCTCGCGGCTCTGGTCCGGCACGCGGCCTCGGCGCGCTGCCTCCACGAGTGGAGCGCGGGCTCCTCGCCGCCGCGCCTCAGCGACGAGGCTTGCGCGCGGCTGATGGAACGGACCACCGACGCGCCGCACGCCTCGCCGTCTACAGGGAGCGCTGGGAGGGAGGATGCGGATATGCGGCTGGCAGGAGGACGGCACGCCGGCCACGCCGCCACTACACAGGGATTTTAAGAAGATTGGATATTGCGGCACCTTCACGGGGAACTCGTCTCCCGATACTGCAACCCAGACAGACAAGAGCTGGCTCTGAGCCACCGCTGCACGCACGCTAGACTGCCACAACGTATCAGACACTCCTCATTCCGAGTACACATCCACCCTCACGCACAATTAGTGTTCAGCGCCCACTCAAGGATTGGCCCAATGCCATCTACGTCATCTACGGCCCCGTTCGTTGCGGTGCGTCCGATTAGTCGCGGTTGCCGGTGGTCTCCGTACTAGTGAAACACTTGGCATTTACGGTCTCCGCGTGGGCGAGGGTGTGGCCACTGAAGGCATTCGGCACCCTGGAGAAGGCCAATTGATGACAGGCCGGAATTAATCCACCGTTCCGTTCAACAGAAGACCGCACAGCTCGGCCAGACGAAGACTCACTCCTTCTCATGTCCCTCGTTAATCATGTTGGCCACGAGGACCACCTCTGACACATTCAGGGGTGCGGTCGGGGATGCCAGCCAAAAGGGCGGGAAGGTTGTCTGGGTGCCGCCGACAACTAGCGTGCCACTCGCGGCGCCCCGCTCGGCAGCTTTGGCAGCGACCAGCGGGAGTAGTTTTTGCGTGGCGCCCAAAGGCCCTTCATCGTTGGACATGAGGGCATGCGTGGTCAAGACCACGCCCAGCAGCCAAGGCACGGCGGCAACGGCGAGCGCGGCGTCCGCAATCCCCTCCGTGACGCAATAGCCACGGTGCGAGGCGCAGAAGACGACGTCTCGGGCCAACATCAAGATGGCCGCACTCAGAGACAGAACTGAGGTCGCGCCCGCCAGCCGGCGCCACCCGAGGGGGACTCGGACCGTGGTGGCCAGTACGAGGCAGGCGCAGCCAACTTGCCCGCAAGCCATGATGGCGAGGAGATCAGGCGTGACGCCGTCGCCAATCGCAATCTGCAGGCCAAATAAGCCGACGGCGATCACACAAACGGCAGCCCCCACGGCGGCGGAGGCCACGCGGAGAGCTTTGAAAGTCGGACTGGAAGGCCGCCAAAAGATACTTTGCAGAAGGACGATCGTTGCGGCGACGATGCCGAGGATAACACCGGCGCCACTGAAGGCAGACGCATCGGTGTCGTGCCTCTCGTAAGGCACTAGCCACCACGGCCGGTGATGATTCGCATCCTCCTCTGTCAGGCGGAACACCTCAACTCCATAAGTGACGTCGCCCTCGGTGACCTGCGCCTCCAATGTCGTGAGCACGACATTGCACTTGTCCGACGGCGGCGGCACGGAGCAGAGCTCCCAGCGCGCGCCCCCGATGGTGTAGCACCACGGCCCAATCTCCGCCGAGCCCGGGTTTCGGCAAAAGTTGTGCCCTCCGAGCCCAAAGGTTGGAAAGGCGAGGCCGGTCTTGGTGTGCGCGTTGGGCGTCTGGTGTGACCAGACCTGGCACTGGTGGCCCGCCGCGGAGACCGCCACGTGGCCGCGATAGTCGATCCCGCGGCTGTCCGTGTAGCACTCGTCCGCCTCGTGCGAGCAGTCGTGCCCGTCCCAGCCGCACGCCTCGTTGTTGCACTGCTCGTCGCACTCGTCGTCGTCGATCCAGTTGGGCATGCAGCCGTCGGCGCACCCGCTGTCGGCGGTGCAATCGGTGCCGTCCCACTGGCACGCCGAGTTGTAGCACGCCTCGTCGCAGTAGCCGTCGCCGATCCACGCCACCGGGCACGCGGTGGCGCAGTTGTCCTCAAAGCCGTACCCGCCGTCGTAGCCGCAGTCGCCGCCGTCCCACACGCACTCGGTCGTGTTGCAGGCGATGTCGCACTCGGCGTTGCCGAGGCGCAGGTCGTCGCAGCCCGGAGAGCACGAAGTGGCCACAAAGTCGTCGTAGTCCATCATGTCGCCGCCCGCGACGGCGTTGGCCGCGTCCTGCGTGTAGTTGTACAGGAAGAGCTTGAAGTCGCCCTCCTCGAAGCCAGAGACGCCGATGTGCAGCTTGCACTCCTCCTCGTCGGTAAGCGGCGGTGGCGGCGGTGGCGGGGGCGGCCGGGGAGGCACGCTGCAAAAGCCGCAGGTGTAGTCGCACAGCCCTGCCAGAGGGGGCGAGGGGTGTAAGGGTGGCACGGGCGAGAGCGCCGGTGGGGGCGGCTAGGAGGTGTCTGGGAGGCGTCCGAGAGGCGTCTAGTCTCCGAGGTGCCTGGCAGCAGGCAGCTCGGGCAGAGCAGCGTCTCGCACACGCTGAGGTGCGAGGGGCAGTACCCGGGCGTCGCCGCGTCGACGCACTCCTCGGTGGCGGCGACGGTAGTGGCGGCGGTGAGCGTGGCGCGCTGCGGGCGGAGGGGCGAGGTGAATCGAGGGGAGGGGAGGGGAGGAGGGAAAAGGGACGGCGACCTGCTGCCGCCCGTCGAAGTCCTCGCTCGGCTTCCGGCCGCAAAAGAACTCGGAGGAGGCGGGCAGCGTGAACTGCTTGACGCCGACCGACTCGTCGAGCCACCTGAGCACGAGCAGCCAGCGCAGTGAGGAGACGCCGGTCACACACCCAGAGGCGAGTCGGGCAGCGAGGAAGTGATTGCGGGGGTTGCGGCGGCAGCGGGGAGGGGGTTGTGGTCGCACGTGGCGGAGGAGCGTGTGGGACGCGGCTCGCTGAAGGAGAGGAGGAGGTCGGCGTCTCCCTGGATCGGCAGCAGCACCACCTAGTCTCGCATCCCCTCGGGGTCACACCTCGGGTCGACTCGGGAGCGCCGAGGCGGCGGCGAGGGCGGCGGCGGAGAGGGCGGCAGCGTGGGCGGCGGCGTGGGCGGCGGAGGGGGGGCCGCGCGCGCCTTGACGCCCTGCATGCTCGGCGGCAAGCTCGCAACGTAGTAGACCACCTCTAGCTCCTTGACGTGCCCGTCGGCCCTGCGCGAACGCACCACATGGACGGCAGTGAGGGAAGGCGCGGGTGACTGTGACTGTGAAGATGGGGGGAGGAGAGGAACCCCCCCTTGTGACGGTCGCAGACACTCACGGGTGATGCTGTGCGGCCTCGATCTCGCTCGATCTCCCTCGATCTCGGATGGCCTTGGCCGATCTCGCTCGATCTCGCGATCTCGGCCGAACTCACCCCTCGCGCAGCTTGAGCGGGATGAGGCCGTCCGAGGGCGCCGCGACGGCGGCGGCGACGGCGCCCGCGCCATCCCACTTTGCCGCGTACCACTCCGCAGCGCCATCGTCGGAGGAGATGAAGGAGCCGCACGAGCCGCCGTTCTCAGCGAGCAGGCCCTCGCGCCACTGCGAGCCGGTGACACGCCACTTGCCCGAGCAGAAGAAGATGAAGCGCGAGCTGTCCGGGTCGATGCGGTCCCAGATCGGCTTGCCTTGGATCAGGTCGTCCGAGCGCTTGTACGTGCCCTCACATTTGGCGTACGTGCGTCCGTCCAGCTTGGCGTACTGCGCGGGAGCGCGGGTCTGCGCCGATGCGATCAGGCTCGGCTCGCTGGCGTCGCACCTGGCCGCGGGATGGCGAGCGGAGGCTGATGACCGAGCGTGTGAGGTGTTCGGGTGAGGCAACAGGGGCTTGTCATGGACGTCTCTCTCTCTCCAGCGCTCACTTCTTCGGCTCCCCCACGTCGCACTCCTCCCACTCCACGTCGGGGTAGTCGGTCGTGTAGCACCACGGCCCAGACTCGCGGCCGGTCGGGTTGCGGCAGTAGTTGTGGCCGCCCAAGCCAGCGTCGGGGTAGTCAAAGACGGTCATGGTGTGGTGCCACGGCATCTGCTCGGCCCAAGCCTGCGGGGGCGAGGGGGGGGGGGGGGGAGGGGGAGGAGCATCGGTACGCTATAGAGGGTCGCGCCGCGGGGAGAGACACGGACCGCAAGCTCCTCGGCTGTGTGTCTGTGAGTCCTCTGCGGGAGGGTGGGGTGGCCGCCCCTTCACCTGGCAGGTCCTTCCAGACTTGGTGTGATCAACTTTGCCGCGGTAATCAGCGCCGTTCGACTGCTCGAAGCACTCGCTCGCGTCGTGGAAGCAGTCCCGGCCCTGCGGAGGCGCGGGAGCCGCAGCTCGTGTGCCAGCCGGTGGCTAACGCGGGCGGGGAGCGGGCACGCACATCCCAGTTGCAAGCCTCGATGTTACACTCCAGGTCGCACGCGCCGTCGTCAATCCACTGCGCACGAGGGAGGCCGGTGCAGCTCACGGGCGTGCCCAGAGTGCGGTGTGGCGGGCCACGGGCCACGCCTCGTTGGGACAGTTGTACACGCAGTTGTCCTCCCACTGCAGACGACGCGGGTCCGTGGCGGCAGCGGCGGTGGCAGCGGCGGTGGCAGTGGCGAGCACGAGCCACTTCATCGCGTCCCGGACCGGGCGGGCCGGGCCGATCACGGACGAGGCGGGGAGGGGTATAGCGTCCTGGACATGGCAGGAAAAGCGAGCGCTGCAGTTTTTCATTTTACGGTCCCTGCACAGCGGCTTTGATTCTTACGACCCTCGCCCGCCAAGGCAGGTGTGCACTCTGCTAGTCTTGTGTGCTCACACCACGTCCACGACACAACATCAACAACACGACTACACTGTGGGTGAACCTTCTTTTCTAGACGGCTAGGATTGAGAGCAGCCTCGCTCTCAATCCTAGAAGTCGAAGGATTGTGAGCAGCAGTCATCGCAATCGTAGCATCTCTGTGCGATTGTGGAGACTACCTTTACAACAAGGCCCACCACCGGCGGCCCCACGACGGCGTCCTCGCCGCCTGGGCGGACGCGATGCGCGCCCCGGCCAACGCGCCGGTCGTGCACGGCGACAAGGAGAAACCAGAGCTCACCCGGCAGTACAACGAGGGGTACATGTACAAGGTCGACCTCGCAGAGCCCCATGCGGGACCGGGAGGATGCGATGAAGTAAATGAAGTCAAGCTCTGGACGCCCCTCCTCAAGACCTCCTCGACGGGCGTTGGCAACGCCTCGAGTGGCGGCACGCCCGCCTCCGTTGGCCACTCCTACGCCTTCGGCAACACTGAAGAGAAGGCCCGCCGCCTAAACAAGGCGCGCGGGCAGCCCGGCCAACCCTTCTCCCACAAGACCGGCCACGGCTACGTCAAGGCGCATCGCGATTTCTACCACGACGCGATCTTTGTCAAGCGCAACAACTTCAACCTGCTGCTCCACGAGACGTTCGGCGGCGGCTTCTCGCCCACCGCCGTTCTCAAGCTGCGCCGCCTCGCGCGCAAAGTCGCGCGCCCCCTCTAGAATGCGCCTGTGGTGTGCCCCATGTGGCACCCCGGCCTGTTGTCTCACCCTCTGGCTCCCAAGATCGTTTTGGTCGTCACATCGTGATCCCCGACGTCGTCAAATGTCGCTCGCCTGTCCTTCCCCCCATTCTCATCTGGCAATCTCATCTTATTGTCCCATGGGTGTTTGAGGCTGGCTACGGCCACTTCGCTCCACAGCCGTCCCGCCACCCCTGCCGTGTGCGATCCCGGCCTCACTGTCTTTCGGAATTGTTCGCACACCCACTCGTGCGCGCTCTGACACATGTGTCCGTACGTCCGTCGGTCCACTATCTCCCTCTTGCTCTTCTCTGTGTCCTCTCTGCCACACCACTTTTGAGCGTCCTCCGTGTCGTTATTTCCCAGGTATGCTGTCGCCACCCGTCGGCGTATGCGTTGCAGGCTATTCCCACGTGCGATGGCACCCACACAAAGACCACTGCCTCTAGCTTCGATCTATAGTAAGCAATCGCCTCAGGACTGGCATCCCTTTACGGACGGTGCGCATTCTCAATCTGCTGCAGCGCGGGTTTGCAGTCGCATAGTACTAGACCGTCGCGCCTGCGCGTGTCGCTCGCGCTCGCCATTTTGCTAGGTATGCGAGTATCGCGTACATCTCCGCGTCTATCACCTCCCACGTGCTCGGCAGCTTTCCTCCCCACATGCCCGCCCCAAAGGCTGTCCGTATCTCCTCTTCTCCACAGGGTCCGATTCCGTTGGGATCCTTTACCTGGGCGTCTCCCGGGACGCGCTTCCCGAATCGTGTCTGTCCTTCGAACACGCCGTACGCCACCCTTGGGTGCGGCGCGTCCGCTGCGCGGGTTATTTTCTGTCGCGATTTGGCCGTCGCGAATGCAGAACATCGAGCTCGGAGAGTCGTCCGTCGACGTCGAGCGCGCCGCTCCTTCGCAGCAGCCTGCTTCCTCATCAGCCGACAGCCGCGCCTTGTCGTCGCAGCCTCTAAGCGACGTCGCCGGCAGCAGCGGCGGCGGCGCGGGCAGCAGCGGCGGCGCTGGCGCCGGCGGCGAGTGCGACGGCGGCGACGGCGACGGCGAGTACGAGCTCGATCCGGCGGCGCAGGTCGCCTCCCTCCTCGCGCCCGTCTGCGCGACGATGGCCATCGTCGTCTACCTGCTCAAGACGGTCGACGCCGCCGAGCAGCCCGCCTCCGGCTTCTCCGAGATCATGGTGTACCAGGAGCACTCCTCGGACGACGCGGCCACCATCGCCGGCGGCGTCGCGCTCAACGCGCTCGCGATGGTCGCCCTCCTCTTTGTGGTGACGAGCGGGCGCGTCGTACACACTTCCTAGACACAGCTCGTCGTCGTGCGGGCTCGCCCCGCTCCGCCGCTTGCCACACGCTACCCCCGACCCAAACCCTAACCCTGACCCTGACCCTGACCCCGACCCTGACCCTCGCCCTACCCTAACCCTGCGAGGCTCGTCCTGCTGTACCGCTTCTCCTGCTACGCGGCCATCTACGGCTTTCTGCTCTTCTCGGTCGTGGGCGCCCTCTTCGTCTCTGGCTGCCTGCTGCTGCTGCGCAACGTCCCCAGCCCCAGCCCCCAGCCCTGACCCCGCCCCACCCTGCCCCCCCCAGGCTCGGAGCTGCTCCGCGGCGTGCGAGACGCCTACGACCCGGCCGGAACCCTCCCCGACCTCGCCGTCCTCGCCGCGGCGGGAGCCTTTGCGCCGTTTGGGCGGCCGGCGCCGTCTCCTGGTCCGGCCGGGAGGGGCGCGTCCAAGACACGTCCGCCGTACTTCACACAGGACGGCCGCAGTCTTCTGGTCCGACCTCGGCTGCGCGCGCAGGTGCGGCGCCGACTCGCCTCGCCGCCCTGCAGCCTCGGCTCAACACACGGCGCACCTGCGATGCCGCAACACGGCGCACTGCGGTGCTGAAGGTGCGGCTTCGACTTGCCTCGCTCGCGGCAGACGTCGCTCGTGCTCATCTCGGCGATCACCGCCGACAGAGCGGACCCGAGCCGCCCGCTGGCGCGTCACTACCCACTCGCTGGCCTTGTCTCGACAGGCGATCATCGCGCACAACCCGACCATGCTGCAATAGTAATATATAAGAATAATACAACTATCACAGGCGATCATCGCGTACAACCTGACCAAGCTGCAATAGTAGTATATAAGAATAATACAAGTATACACAGGCGATCATCGCGTACAACCTGACCAAGCTGCCTGAGTGGACGACGTGGGGCGTCCTCGGCGCGGTGGCGCTCTGGGACATCGTCGCGGTGCGAGCGAGGGGCGAGGGGCGAGGGGCGAGGGGCGAGGGGCGAGGGGCGAGGGGCAGGGGTGGGGGCAGGGGCGGGTGTGGGGGTAGAAGCAAGGGAAGGGTGGGGGTATGGACAGCGGTGGGCAGTACAGCAGCCCTCCCCGGTGCTCGCCCCCTCGCGGCTGATGAGGAGGAACGAGCAGTTCATCGTGGTCACCAGCAGCCCCCGCCCGGCAGGTGCCCACCCCCCTCGCGGCATAAACACATCACACTATTATGTATTATTCCCCGCCCGGCAGGTGCTCACCCCCCGCGGGCCTCTCAAAGTGCTCGTCGAGACGGCCGAGCAGCGGGACGAGCCCATCCCCGGGCTGGTGTACGAGGGACACGGCATCAAGCTCGGGCTCGGCGACTTCGTCTTCTACTCGCTCCTCGTCGGCCGCGCCTGCCTCTCCTCGATCACCGCCTTCGCCGCCTGCGCCATCGCCGTCCTGGCCGGCCTCTGCGCCACCCTCGCCCTCCTCCCCGTCCTCGAGCGAGTGCTGCCCGCGCTGCCAATCTCGGTCCGGCCCACACCGGCCGCTGAAGCACAGCCTTCCCTCTCTGCTGGCTGCAATCTCAGTCCGGGCCGCCGCCACAGCGCCGCGCCCCGCCGCCGCCCGCCCCTCGCCCGACGCTCCCCTCTCGCCTCCGCGAGGTTGCGGTCGGCATCCTCTTCTACTTCATCTCGTCGTCGCTCATCGAGCCGCTCGCCGCCTTCGCCGCTGACCAGTCGCTCTTCCTATGAGTCATACTATGAGGCTGCTGGGGACGCCGAGTAGCGCTACAGTGTGTTCGGCCATGTGCCCGGGAGGTGCCGCGCGGTGCCGGGAGGATTACTCTGTCAGCGCACAGCGGCGTCTCGGGTCTCGCTCCTCTCGCGGTCTCGGTCTCGGCGCGGCCTCGCTCGCGCGCGTCTCCGCGCGGCACCCGCTGTGGCTGTTATGGCTCGGAGAGAGACGAGAGTCGACATCCTCAGACTCGAGAGAGCGCGACGCCACAGCGGCATGGAGCGATTTTTTGAATCCAGACCACAACCTCGACCTCTCACATATCCGTCTCGCGGGAGACTCTACTGGACGGGCACTCCGTCGTCGCAGCCGTCGGCGAACGGGTTCTGCTGGCACTTGAAGGCCTTCGAGCTTACGTCCAGCCCACCCGCCGCCTTTTGCGGGTCCGCGAAGCCGACGACGTCGAGCTCGACGAGGAGTGACTCGTCGAAGCGCCTGCCGAAGCGCGCCTTTGCGCCGTAGGTGCGTGGCTGAGGGAGGGAGACCTTGTTCTGGCAGGCGAGCTCATTCTCGATGGCGGCGCCGATGTCCGCCTTGAAGACCAGGTTGCCCGACTGTGCGTCCGTCCTCTTCTGCGCGTCGAGGCCGAGCGACTTTGTACCCTCGGCGCACGCGCCAGTCAGGTCGCGCCAGCCTCGCTCGGGGCGCACCAGCACGCGCCTCCGCCCGCCCGGCTTCATGCCGACCAGCGCGTCGTTGACCCCGGCGACCAGGTTGCGGCCCGCGAGCCGGACCTGATCAAGGCAGCCACTCCTTGTGCGGTGCTCCGGCGACTGCAGGCTGCGAGGGGCAGGCCGGCCGCACCGGCAGCGTGTCGCCCTCGCGGTCCTGTTCTCAATGAAACGCTTAGGATTAGAACCACATCGTGCACCGTCCCGTGACTCGCGCCTCGTCTTCGCCGTACCCAAAGGAGAAGATTGTCTGCCCTTCGCCGGACAGGCCGTCGCGCGCCTTGGTCCCGAGCCGCATCACGCGGTACCGGATCTCCACTGCGTCGCCCTCGGCGACCGCCTTGCCGCCCTGCCCCACGGCGAGGTCGCGATACCGGTCGCCGCCTCGGGTGCGCTCGATCGTCTCGTCAGCGCCCTCGGCTGCCTTGGCGCGCTCGCGTTCGCCCAGCGCCTCACACTCGTCGATGCTCTTGCACTTGCGCTCCTTTGGTCCAGTCTTGGGCGGAGGCGCCGAGCCCTTGACGAGAGCCAACGCCGGCGCCGGAGCGGCCGCGGCCGCGCCGAGCAGCGATCCAGCCGCTCCGAGGAGCTCGCGCCGCCGCTGCAACAACGCAGCCGGAGCGGGCGGGAGGAGAGAGGACGAGGCAAAGAGCAGCAACGTCCACATGCGATCTCACTTACAGGATTCGTTTCTTTTATTTTTTGGCTTCGACGATAAAGGCGATGTCCGCCCCACCCACGCGCCGCTCGCGCCGCCTCCGTCGCTCGCCGCCGCCGCCGCCGCCGCCGCCCCGTCCTCGACCTCCCCACCAACCTCCTCGTACGCGTCCTCTTCGCTCTCGCCTCTCGCTACAACAGCTGCTCCATCGACATTACTCGCGTCGCGGCCGTCTCGCTCCTCTTTCGCGCCTCGCTCGCGGAGGAGGGCATCCGCTTGCGGGCGCAAAAGAGCGCGCGGCTACGAGCTGCTGGCGCAGCCAGAGAGCGAGGGCTGGGCTGTGCTTGTCTGCGTTGCCGTTGGCGAGGGGCTCTCGACCCCGGTTTGTTTGTTGTTTGTCCCCGGGGTAAGTCGCCGACCATCCCCCCACACACAAAGACAAAAACACCCCCAGGATGGGACCCCCGGCCCGCGATGAGCGTCGTGACATGGAACAGGCGCGATGAGCGTCGTGCCACCTGACCCGAGACGGGTCGCAGGCGTCGTACCGAGCGCGTCGAGACCGTGTCCTGATGCGCTCTGCACGGGTGAGTCACGTCGGCGTCAAAGGAGCGACGTGTGACCTGTCAGAGCTTGATCTCCGATCTCAGCGACGTCGAGTCGCCTTCGGTGGCGACAGCTAGGATGCATCTCCTCCTTCGTTTTTCGCGCTATGGCCCTGGGAAGCTGGCGGCGCACACAGGCGGACCTTGTGTGTGCGCGGAACGCTTAAGTGTGGGTGCTCTATGTCCATAATGTCAGTGATACTTATGTCACTTTTTTTGAGTAGATAGTGCCGAGCTGGCCGTGACAGCGTTTTTTGCACCAAAGTGTGGGTTTTCCCCGTGAGACTTTTTGCAACTAGTCTCCTTTTGACAGCGTTATCGCACAGTAGCCAGTCCGACTTTGGCGTCGGGTGCATACATAGGGTATCTGCTATACGAGATGGACCCGTCCCCTCCCCTTCGCTACCCTTCGCGTGCGTACGTATCCGCGGATGGGAGGGGCGTACCAAGGCCGTGTGCGCTGCGCTTCCCAGCATGGCATGTGGGGTTGTTGCGGGTCTGCTTTTGTTTAGGTAGGTGCGGCGTGGTGCTCACCTTGTGTTGGTCGGGAGCACATTTCTGGCAGCTTCGACGTCATTCTGCAGCTGCGTCGTCGGCATCGCGATATCAAAGCGAGAGAATGCGAAGCGCGTGGCGTAGCGCGACTCCACCTCATACATGGCCGCCGTGCCCTCGATGGCTCCCTCGGCTTGCGCACTAGTGGCGAAGCGTCCCGCGGCTGGGTAACTGTCCTGCTTCCCATTCCGTGGGACCGAGGAGGAAAAGGACTGCCCTAGCAGACCATGTGGAAAAGTGCGCTCCGGTGCGTTGCCCGGGGCACTGATAGACACGTCGAGGCGATGCCTTGGGCCCGAAATCCGGTCATAGACGTAGCCACCGCGCACGGTGGCGGCCCACGCGCGGACCTGGAAGACGGCGGAGGAGTAGCGCACCTTGATGGACATCTCCTCGCATCGGCGCGTGTGAGCGACCTGTACATTGAAGCTGCCAAAGTAGCCGCAGGTGCCGTTGACGAACCCGTAGCCGGTGTTAAAGTCATTGAGGGCCTCGGCCCAGAACGAGACGGTCGCAAGCTTACCCTTGGCCCCGCCGACGACGGCCACCATGTGCGCCTCCGTGACGATACCGTGTACAAGTATTCCAGCGGTTTCCCAATTTGGTCGGAACTCATTCTGCCAATCTCTCAATCTCCTTGTGATCTCTGTTGAGATCGAACAAACCTAAAAAAAAGCCAAGAGAGGGGTGGAAGGGCGGGAAAAGCCGGCGTAAAAAAAAAAGCTACGGCCGAGTTGGTGTACACTAACCGTGACTATCAAACTATTAGCCTCATGATGTACCATCCAGCGGTGCGACACGCTGAGGCATTTGGGAACGTGCTCGGCGCGCACCACCTCAGAGTAGTTCATTTCCAGAGAGAGATTTTTAGCAATACCAAACAACTCTAACACTCACACGTAATTTGTTTGTCATTTCCATCCATCTGCTTTAGTAAAAAGGGGGCAAAGAGAGCGGAGCGTTCCACCTGGCACCTGCATAGCACGTCTTGAAGGGAACGCCCTCCGAAACGATTCGGACTGCGCAAGGGACACGCCCTCCGCGTCGATCTCGTGTTTTCTGCAGAAAGAATCGCACGGGCCTCATGCGATTTCTTTGGTCCGTTGCCCAGACACATCCATCAGTCTCATGGACCCGCTCTCCTGCGGCGCCCGCGTGCGCTTGACGGGAAGGACCTGCGAGGGCACGGTGCGCTACGTCGGAAAGGCGGACTTTGACTCCGAAGGAACTTGGGTCGGCGTGGAGCTTGACGGCCCAGAGGGTCGGAACGACGGCTCGGTCGGCGGCGTGGCCTACTTCTCCTGCGCGCCTCTGCACGGTGTGTTCGTGAGGCCGGAGAAGGTTCGTCCGGCTGTTGGAGCGCCGCCGCGGGCGCCGTTTGATCGGCCGCTCGCTGGTGGCGGGCCTTCGGAAGCTGCGCCGCCCGCGCCGCAGCCGATGGATATTGGTGATGGGACGGCCTGTCCCGTCTGCACCTTTGTCAACGCGCCGGGCGCCGCCGCCTGCGAGATGTGCGGGACCCCGCTTGCCGCGGCCGACGCGCCGGCGACGGGCGACGCGATGCTGGCCGCCGCCATAGCTGCGTCGGAGCACGAGGCGGACGAGAGGGAGCGGGCGGCGACGAGGAGAATAGCAGCCTAAAGCCTCCCGCACCCACATACCTCCCCACGAGCCGCTCCTGCACCTGCGTCTGACCGACCCCGTCCCCCTCCTGCAGCCCCGCACTACCTCCCCTGCGCGCGTCCGCAGCCCGTGCCCCTGCGCAGAAGCCCGCTCAGCCTCGGCCCCTCCCCAACCATGTGTGTGTACCTCCCGCCAGGCGCGAGCGCGAAGAGGTGCTCGCAGCGCTTCGCGAGTCGCGCGCCGGCGCAGACGCGGGCGCGGAGGAGCTTCAAGAGGAGGTGCGCCGCCAGCGCGACCCCTCCCCACGGACAGGGCTCAGTCCCACCCCCCCAGCGCCGGGGCCCGTCTCTGCCGCTTGAAGGGACCAGCTGGAAGGGACCAGCTGGAAGGGACCAGCTGGAAGGGACCAGCAGACACGCAGCCAGCCTTCGGCCCTCTTCCCCTCCCGCTTGTCAAGCCCCCCCCCCCCTCTGCACACCCCACCCTATCCACCGCCCCGCCTGCCTCCCCCCC